CGCTTAACAAAGTAGTCGGAGAGTGATTCAGCAAAGATACAGCTTTATTCAACAACTCGAACACAACTCCAACACGGATCAACATCTGATAGCCATAACAGCTTTACCATGAAAGCCGTTCCCTTTTTAAACTCTCCCCGCTAATGTAGCCGCGCCTTACTGTACATTACCAACCAATGAGATTGTTTACATAAAGACCAATCATCGACGTTCCCGCTCAGGAAGCTTGCTGACAAGTGATTGGTTGGTTCTTCCTGGGCTAGCATTGCGATTGGATGGATTTGGATCCTAGCCCAGGACGAAGCTTTACATGACACTCCAACGAGGTGATTCACATACACGCTATGCATTCAATGGCAGCTATTGAATACATTACAAGTTCAACTTGAATGCAACTTTTCTGACTGTTTCGTCTGAGAGTTACTGTGCGAACTGACACATGGCAGTGCATCGGGACTTCCCGGTCACTTGTGGTCTGTTCCTTCTTGGATGGGGGGCGGGGAGGATAGAGAGAGGGAGGCTTTAAATTGCTACATTTCTCTTAACTTTTATTTTGTTGTTTTGGGGGGATCGGTGCGCACGTGTGAGTGTGTGTACAGCTGGAAGTCATGGCGACCTCTGGTGACTGACCCCTACCGGGGGCCTGGAGGATATTCAGAGAGGGGGCTGAATAAAGCCTGCCCCCAACTCCCGACTGCTGGTATTCCAAGGAGGTCTCCCATCCAAGGACTTGCCGGAGTCGACCCTGCGTAGCTTCCGAGATCTGACTTGCCTGGGCTATATCCAGGTCAGGGCGGTTTTTCTTAACTTTGGAGTGTGCTCATTGTGGGTGTTTTTTTTAAGCCCCCAGAGGGGATTCTTTAATTGATTTTTTTAAACACTACAAAAAACTACAACAGCAAAGGGGGAGGGGAAAACTGCATATAAGGGAGAAAGTAAAGAACCCACTACTGACTAAAAACCCAAGAGAGGAGATCCTCTAACTAGCTTTTTTTTTAGCATCCAAACTTTTAATTTTTGTACTTCTTATGAACTGTGTCAATGTTTTAGAACTTTTAACCCTCCCCATTTACATTTAACTGCCCAATAACAGTGCCCCCTATCATGCCCTGGAACCAAAGTTCTCAAAGACACAATTCAGAGTCCTTCAGCCTTTACTTCTTCTTCTCTCTTTTCCGCAGTTTGTAGGGACTTTTCGGGGCTGCTGCCCCCTGCTCAGACAGAGAGTCCTCGCCAGATGAACCAGTTTCCAGCTCACCGCTGGACCTGCTGTCTTCTTCTTTTTTCTCTTCCTCTGACCTTCCCAGCTGGTCCTTTAGAAATTCTTGAGCTTTAAGAACAGAGTCTCTCATTGTGGTTTTTAAAAATGTTCAGTAGACCTCACCTCAGTAAGGTGGGTTTTTTTTAATTTTTAAGAATCTCATTTGCTGGAGGGGAAAGCGAGTAATTAAGGCCTCCTTCAGGCAAAAGGTCCATTCAGGAATGCTGTGGCATTTGGCCAGGAGAAAGGAGGCAAGAGGACTGAAAAGGGACGGCGACTCGGGAGTCCCTCCCGAATGGTCAGCCCTTAAACGGAGGGCACCGCAAGTGGCATGTGCCATTTTTGAAAGTGTCCACACATCAGGCCTGGAAAGAGAAAGACAAGCGATGCAGAAGACGCCAGAGTGCGCTGATGCCACTGTCTAGCTACTCTGCAAAAACACTGTGAACAGGCTGTGGTCATTCCGGATTAAACGCCTGTGTTCTTTTCAATGCTCCCGCTAAACTGCAGAGCCTTGTGAGCAAAAATTCTCCTTTGTGAGCTACTGGCACTAAAGTTGTGAGTGAGCGATTTGGCTCCTGCATGAATTAGTTTGCTCTGGAGACATCGTTCCTGAGCTAAGATAAAAATGTGTGAGCCGGAGGCTAAAAAAACCTGTGAGCTAGCTCACACTAACTCAGCTTAGAGGGAACACTGGTTCTTTTCCACACTCCGATTGTCCTTCTTTGTGTGTTCCCGTTGCTTCGGAGGAGGAAGGGGTTCTGTCCCACACGTTTTGCTCCCTTTAGTGGTGGATTTGATATTACATTGATTTATGTCCTGCAGAAAAACCTGTAGTTTCAATCTGCAGGGAGACTTATGCTGTTGAATCTATGGTCAGAGGAAAATCTACCTAATACATGAAAACAGTTAATAAATATTTTAATAACAGCTGTAAAAGAAGTAATAGCCAAAAACTGGAAAGACAAACATCCTCCATCTATCAACCAATGGCTTTCCAAAGTTTGGGATTTTTTTCTATTTGAAACAATTTCAATTTATAACACTACAGATCAAAACGAATGTGAGTTATATAATCCAATAGGGAAATGGTATCCCATAATAGAAAAACTATCATTTGATAAATTTGATTCAGAATATATTACTGATGCTAAATATAAGTTATTGTTATATGGTTAAGCATTGTAAACTAGAGATATCATACGACTTAATTGTAAAAAAAGTACCATTTGAGTGTATTCAAGTTGAAGTGAAATAACCTGTGTATTAATGTTATATTATTTATGTTACAATGTTGAATATTAATAAAAAATTTGGTTAAAAAAATCTGCAGGGAGAAATGCCGGACATAAAACAATGTAATATCAAATCCACCACTAGAGGGAGCATACGTGGAACAGAAAACCCTCTGAAGGAACAGAAACACACAAGTGAGGAAAATTAGAATGCAGAAAAACTGTGTGGTGGAATTGTTCTCTCTGTAAGGCACTTTCTTGTGTTGACATTACGATTTGAGTGTTCCACGTGACAGGGAGTAAACAGCTGATGTAAGTTTTATGTTTGATTGTTATATGCTTGATTATCTATACCGTCCCTTTAAGACTGAACCATGTGGCATTCTGGGAAACGGAGATGGCACACAAATGCAGGAAAACCAGCGTAGCATGGCAGGTGGCGTGTCTGGCTCTGGTCTCAGGAGACTTGAGTTTAAAGCCACATGCTGCTGTAAAGCTTGCTGGGCTAACTTGGGGCAGTCACTTCTCTGTCAGCTGTGCCTTACCTCACAGGATTGTTGTGGGAATAAAAGGGGAAGAAAAGAACCATATACTCCACTCTGAGCTCTTTAGAAGATGGGGGGGGGATAACAGTGCCACCGACAAGATGTTTGCATCCTTATAACATATTTTATCGGAGTGTGGAATCTGGTCCGGTTTGAGAGAATTTGTCCTCTCTCTTAATAGATTATGTGAATTTATCATGTCAAAAAATCATCCAGTTTTTCCGTACAGATGAGGATTGGAAAGCTACCTTATCAGTTTCTAAATATTTAGCTGAGATGATTGCCTGTAAGAGGGTTGGATCTCGTTTTGTTCAAGACCTTTGAGTCAAAACTTAACAGTAAAATAAGGAAGGGATATTGGGATGTTTTGCTGACCTGACACTGCAACCACCCCAAAAAGTGCTGTTGAGTGTTCTCCACAGTTGGGAGAAGAGAACGGAGATTCCCCGCTTGCTCCCCACAATTAGAAAAGACACCTTTAGACATTTATCTGCTATTCTGACACGTTTATTGTTTTACAACTGTTGACCTTATAACCTTAGCTTGTTATTTAGCCCTGACTTTGCACATCTGAAACATCATCATGTTGCATGTTAATGTCCTGTTAGGTCCCCGTCTCTAAGTTTGAACCTTACCTACCATTCCCATGTATTTGAAAAAGTGTGCCTTGCACACAAATGCTCATACTTTGAATAAACCTGCATTGGTCTTAAAGGTGCCCGACTGGACTCTAAATTTGTTCTCCTGCTTCAGACCAACACAGCTGACCTCCTGGATCTATCTTCAAGTAAGATAAGGAGAGAGAGACATTTGCATTTCTCGGTGTATTGCCCTAGTTGCTTTTGATTATCTCTTTGTCGCTTAAAAAGAACGAATAAACTCGAACTTGGTTTATAAACCACGTATCGGGACAACGAAGGCCGTCCCCACCTTAAAGAAAACACACTCGCTCTGGAAATATCTTAAATAAAATACCATTTTAATAGACAGTCCTTGTGCAGACAGCAAGTCCGGCATCTCAAACAGATAAACCCATCCCACTCTCTCTCTTTTTTTTTTTTAGAAAAGACCTTAAAAAAAAGTTGTAATGAACATAATAAAAATGTAACAGCGTGGAAACGTAACACCCTTTCCTGAAATCGGATATTTTTTTTGGCACTCCCATCCCGAGTGGTTCGTAAGAGCCGTTAGTAGACTGCATTCGGGAAGGGATTGAGAGACATCTGTGTAAGCAGGTGTACGGGGACCTGGGGTCAGCCGTAGAGCTACCAGCCTCCAGGTGGGAACTGGAGATCTCCTGTTATTACAATTGATCTCCAGATAACAGAGATCAGTTCCCCTGGAGAAAATGGCTGCTTTGGTGGGTGGACTCTACGGCATGGTACCCTGCTGAGGTCCCTCCCCTCCCCCAACCCCACACTCCCCAGGCTCCACCCCCTAAACTCTAGGTATTTCACCATCCAGACCGGAGAACCCTAGTCAACAGTGAGTTGAGTGATGAGTGTTTTTGCTAATTTCCCATCAACGTGGCACCCACTGCATGCCTCCTGAATGGTCCATGCATGGGGGTGGGAAATGGGTGTATTGTTCTGGGCCTGCAGAATCCGGAGAATCTGTTGTCTGGTGCAGAGTCTGTTGTCTGGTGCCTTACCTCTCGTTCCATAAATGCAGTCCTTCGGTCATGATTCACAGGTGACGAGGCCGTACGTGTGTATGTATGGGGTTGGAGGTGCATATCACAAAGTCGTACCGGGCCCAGAGAAATGGTGTTTTGGCATCTCAGGGAGTAAAAAGGATATAAGCCCACATTAAATAAGGGAATTAAAGAATGATGCAGTATATTTTGTCAGTAGAAAATCCGAGGAGTTTAAGTGACTGGACTCTGAAACGACACTTCCGGAACTTCAGAGCACAACCCGATGGGTGAGTAAAAGCCGTTGAGGTTGGATTCGGCCATCTTTAGGGGTTCACCGGAATGGTGTGGTTTTGGAAAACGGGCTGGAGGAACAAGCCGAGAGTCCCTAGAATACAAACAACGACAAACACCCAGAGAAACAGCCTGTCCACTACCATGGCGACATATTTCCAGTCTTCAACGACCTAGAAGGGAAAAAAGAAAGCCAGTTAAATGCATTTAATGGTATATCAATTGCATTAATGTCTCCCCTCCCCCCTTTTAAACAATGAGCTTTTTCGGCTTCTTAAGGCATACGATAAAATTCTCTCTCTTTTTCTTGTTTCCTCAACCCATTTCTTGATGCTTTTCAGCTCGGCTTTGATGGGAACCCGTTTTATTGTTTTGGGTTCAGTGATTTTGAACGCCAGCTAACGGCATCACTTGTAAAAAATTTTATAAGGAATGTATATAATAAGCAGAAATCCGGGAAATAATGTAACCACAACACTGGAGTCATAGGAATGGGTCACCGTTTTTCTCCTCTGTATTCAGGTGCAAGGATGTAACCTTTCCGTCAGTTCAGACGGTACTTGGAATTAGGTGGGATGGTTGAGTCTCATCATACTGCAAAATGGAATTCAGATGAAGCCACTTTTTAGAAGAGGGGCCGTGTATCTGTGGTGGAGCACCTGTTTTGGACAGCAGGTCCTATCCAGGGGTCATTTCATAGAAAAAGAGGTGCAGGAGCTCATTAGCATGACTCATTAGCATAACTTATTTGCATATGCCACACCCCCTGACATCACCGGAAGCGTGTCAGAAGACAACATCCACCGCTCAGGCTCCACTGGACTGTTTTGGATTGCTAGCTATTGGGGGGGGGGGAACGGGCAGATCTGTCCTCGCAGGGGAGGGAGGTCTTGTAACTGAATAATTAAAGGTACCACTGGACTGTTTTGGACCGGGGGGTGGGGGGTGGGTGCTCTGCAGCTTACCTGGCTGCTTCTTGCTCTGACTGAGGGCTGCTGGGAGCAGGGGGCGGGGCTTGTTGCATGTTCCCGCCCCCTGGGCTCTTTACTGCCGGAGCTCCGCTCCTGTGCGCTCCTGCAGGAAATGATCCCTGGTCCTATCTCAGGTAGCAGGAGTTAGGAAAGACCCCCCGCTTGAGCTCCTGAGGAGCCACTCTGACAAGCTGGGGTGGATAAACCAATGCCTTCACTGCCACTGCATTTCGATATCACAGTCAACTGTCATCTGTTTACACCAGAGGTGTCAAATTCATGTCTTACAACCTGACATGAATGTCACTTTGCTTGGCGGGGCCGTGTTGTGCCATAAAATGTGATGTCAGTTACAGGAGAGATAAACTTTATAAAAGACCCAATTGATGATATTATTTTTTACTCATAAGAACATAAGAGATGTATGTTGGATCCATGCATAGGGGTGGGAAATGGGTGTATCCAGTCCAATACTCTGTCACACAGTGGCCAAAAATACCAGTGCCATCAGGAGGTCCACCAGTGGGGCCAGGACATTAGAAGCCCTCCCACTGTTGGCCCCCCCAAGCACCAAGAAGACAGAGCATCCCTTGCCCCAGAGTCCCTATCTATACCTTGTGGCTAATAGCCACTGATGGACCTCTGCTCCATATGCCTATCTAATTCCCTTTTGAAGCCGTCCATGCTTGTAGCCGCCACCACTTCCTGTGGCAGTGAATTCCAACTGTTAATCACTCTTTGGGTGAAGAAGTACTTCCTTTTATCCAATGTAACCCGACCGCTCAGAAATTTCATTGAGTGTCCGTGAGTTCTTGTATTGTGAGAAAGGGAGAAAAGTACCTCTTTCTTTACCTGCTCTTTCCCATGCATAATCTTATAAACCTCGGTCATGTCACCCCTCAGTCGTCGTTTCTCCAAGCTAAAGAGCCCTAAGCGCTTTAACCTTTCTTCATAGGGAAAGTGTTCCAACCCTTTTATCATTCGAGTTGCCCTTTTCTGCACTTCAAAACACAAACGTGGCTTAAACATGAACACTCTTAGGGTGCGGTCACACGCGGCAGATAAAATAGGGGGGGGAGCGAGGAAATAGACCCGCAGTTGCACGATCACACCTCCCTTGGAAGCTGAGGGTGCAGCCCGTTGGTGTGTGATCAGACGCAACTGCGGGTGAGTCTCTTTTCTTCGCGCCCCTTTGTTTCCCATGCGTTTGAACGAGGAATCGATGAGCCGCACCTCTGCACTGAGGGCTCCCAATGGAGTTTGCATACTGAGAAGGGGGGAAAAAACAACGGCACGGAGTCGGGCTGGCCTGATCAGACCATCCCAGCGGCATGGGAGCACGCCGGAGCGATCAGACTGGGGAAGGTCTCTCCGTGGCCCATCACAACCCATTTGCTACCGGATTTCCCCCGGTGCCTTTTAACGCCACTTCTGCGGTGGAGCGGAACGAGTTGTCAACGGCTGTGGGGCGCTTCCCAGATGTTGCTGTCTGATCGCGCCCTTTAAATCCACCCGGCATTCGTGCCTATATCGGGTCTAATTGTGCGTATGATCGCAGCCTTACAGTATTTCCTCAAAGTATCTCCCTGATGCCCACCCTCAACGCTTCCACTGCCCATTATTCATCAGCACTGGGACAGTATACAGGGACGTAATGCACAGCCTCTGTGATCTGGGTTTTGGCCACTGTGGGTCACAGAGTACTGGACTAGATGGGCCACTGGCCTGATCCAACATGAAGAAGAAGAAGAGATTGGATTTATACCCCGCCCTTCACTACCCAAAGGTGTCTCAGAGCAGCTTACAAACTCCTTTCCCTTCCCCTCCCCACAACAGACACCCTGCGAGGTCGGTGGGGCTGAGAGAGCTCTGACAGAAACTGCTCTTTTCCAAGAACAGCTGTGCCCAAGGTCATCCAGCCAGGTACAAGTGGAGGAGTGGGGAATCAAACCTGGTTCTCCCAGATTAGACTCCGCGCACTTAACCACTACACCAAACTGGCTTCCCTTATGTTCGTATCTGGTAATAAAGGTAATCAGTTGCTCACAGGCCAGATAGGAGCCTGGACAGGCCAGTTCTGGCCCACAGGCCATATGTTTGACACCCCTAGTTTAAACTGTAGTTTGCAGAACAACCCCTGCTTGGTCTGCCAGACACCACCAGTCCATGTGTCAACCCTGGTTTTTCTGTTTCTAGCCTACTTGCCACCACCCAGCCAAGAAGTCATCTTCCTATGCTACCGTCTCTGTAGTCAGGTAGATGCAAGAAACTTCCACATGACATTGTGCTGTAATCATGCCACCCAACAAACCACAGTTGAATGCAAACTGCTTTACAAAACCAGCTTTGAAAACCCAGTTTGATGCCAAGCCGACAAACTCCAGTTTGTTGTGTAGCTCAACTGGGATTTGATCAAGTCATGGTTTATCACCAACTGGAGTTTGTTGTGTAGCCCAACTGGGGTTTGATCAAGTCGTGGTTTATCACCATCTGTGAAAGTAGCCTTTGTAAGGCAGCTGTTCATGTTCTCTCACAATATCTCATGGCAGGAAAGAAGGGAACTGTAGGACTGGGGAAAACAGAAAAGTTTCCCCTCATTACTTACGCTCTCATTGTTGTCCTCGCTTCTCATGTGGTCAGCTATGAAACTGACCCCCTCGATAGCTTCTTGAACTTCAGGAGAGAACTTGGCCGACGATCTCAGCCGGACATCCTGATGGCTGCCGACATTGTCGGGATTATCCGTAAGTTTCAAGTCGTATTTTTTGGCCGAGGCTGTGTTCACAAAATAGGTCGAGCCCTTGTACAGGTCAGAAAGATCAGTGCAGACGGACTCTGTTTTAATCTTCTTCCGGTTGTACAACCTTTGCCTCGCCGAGTTGTTCTCCGGGCGCTGCATGAACAGGAAGTTCGGAAGTTTCTCGAGGAAGACCACCTTCACCCACGGCGGCATGGCGTGGGTGCTGGGGGACCGGTGGTGCACGTTCAGCACGCAGACGCTGGTGACGATCGAGAACGTCACGAGGACCATTGTAAACATCAGGTATTTCCCAATCAATGGGACGTCTAGCGACGTCGGGGGGACAATTTTGGAAATCAGCAGCAAGAACACAGTCAAGGCGAGCAAAACCGAGATACACAAGGTCATTTTCTCGCCACAGTCTGACGGGAGGTAGAACACCAGGATGGCTAGGGATGTTATAAGCACGCACGGTATTATGAGGTTAATAGTATAAAAAAGCGGCTTCCTCTTAATGATAAAGTCGTAGGTCACATCCACATAATTGGGATCCAAGGCGTTCACAGTTCTTCGCCCCGGGAGTGCCACAATATCCCATTCGCCACTAGGGGTGAAGTCGTCCATGCTGGCCGTGCCGGTTTTAAGGACCATGTCGATTTCCGTGTAGTCGTAAGTCCACGACCGGAACTTCAGAGTGCAGTTCTGCTGGTCGAAGGGGAAGTGTTTCACCTCGATCTTGCAGGCGCTCTTGTAGATGGCCGGAGGCAGCCAGAAGATGCTCCCGTTGTTCTTCACGATCACGTTCGTGTACACAGAGACTTCATACGTGCCGTCGGCACTGAAGGAACCGAGGAGAGGGAAATGCGGTTACGGTTGCAAGTAGATAAATAGGTGCCACTTCGGTGGGAAGGTAACAGCGTTCCGTGCACCTCGGCATCTAGTCATGCTGGCCACGTGACCACGGAAACGTCTTCAGACAGCGCTGGCTCTTCGGCTTGGAAACAGAGATGAGCACCGCATCCCTAGAGTCGGATTTGACTGGCTTTCGAGCGAGGGAAACCTTTTACCTTTACCTTTACCTTACAAAATGGATTTTGGCCGTATCTTACTCTACTTTTTGTGGACACTTTAAAAAAAGTACCTAATTCCACGCCAACATCTCCATGATATGGCTGGGTCTTGTGCTCTAGAAATTTTATTTTTTGAAGCCTGAATTGGGTTGCACATGGGAAAGCTCAAATGGAGGTGGGGGACAACCAGGGGCCGGCCCCAGCTTATTTTGCACCCTAGGCGAGGATCCCTTCTGGCGCCCTCCCCCCCCCCAGCGCCCCCCAATGTTCAAAAATAAATACATTTTAGGAAGAATGAAAAACACAAACAATCAAGAAACTCCCACAATACGGGGCTGGGTGCGGTTTGGCACCCCTAAGGGCCAGCCCGCTCTAGGCGATTGCCTAGTTCGCCTAGTGAGTGAGCCGGCCCTGGGGACAACGTTTCCTCTAATTTTCTTCCCTTACTGAGTGGATCAGTTCAGTTCCTGAGCAGAATAGAACTGCTGTAATCTTCAAATGGGCAGTGGGCAGGGCAAGACCTATGTGGCTCCAGACTCCTGCCGAGAGGCGCTTCCTGTGTTAACGTGCGGACGCTCTTGATCACAGCTTAGGGGGAACACTGGGGGGTGTCTGCTCACATGAGCAGCACAACAGAAGAAAAAGATGGAGGAGGAGGAGATTGGATTTATACCCCGCCCTTCCCTACCCAAAGGAGTCTCAGAGTGGCTTAAAATCTCCTTTCCCTTCCCCGCCCCGCAACAGACACATTGGAAGGTAGGTGGGGCTGAGAGGAGAACTGCTCTTGAGAGAACAGCTCTGACAGAACTTGTGACTGACCCAAGGTCACACCAGCAGCCGCATGCGGAGGAGTGGGGAATCAAACCCGGTCCTCCCAGGTTAGAGTCTGCGCTCCTAACCCCTACACCAAACTGGCTCTCTTTCCCAAACCTGCTGTACTACACTCTTTTAGGAAATAATGCTATCCAAGAACTTCTGGAAAGAATTGTACAAGGCAAACCGCTGCGACTTACTTGTTGTAAAGCACGATGTCCGGGAGCCAGACTTTTTTAGCGGGTATCCTTAGCTTATTTATGCCTTCGTAGTCTGAAGGTTCCCAAGCCAAGCGGTAGTCAGTCCATTCCTTAACAAGAAGAAAAGAAGGGGGGATGCAGAATCACAAAGCAAACTGCTTTCTTTCCAACAAAAGAATATTTATACAGTGGGGATTATGCATGCAGACACGTCCACGTCGACCTGCGGGAATGTTTACCTGATTCAGCCAGACATTGGTGGTCATGATCTGCTCACGCTCATTCTGGAGAAAGAGAAAGATACAGATTCTTTGTAGTAACAAATCTCTTTATTTGGATTCGACGGCGCTTGCAAGCACTACCCAGCATTACAAATACGGTCTGATAGATGCCTTGAAAGAAAATGTAACAATGTGCCGCTGTGGCTCAGTAGTAGAGCATCTGCTTGGCATGCAGAAGGTCCCAGGTTCAATCCCCACAAACTCCAGTTAAAAGGAGCAGGCAGGAGGTGATGGGAAAGACCTTGATTTGGGACCCTGGCTCAGTGGTAGAGCCTCTGCTTGGCATGCCGAAGGTCCCAGGTTCAATCCCCACAAACTCCAGTTAAAAGGAGCAGGCAGGAGGTGATGGGAAAGACCTTGATTTGGGACCCTGGCTCAGTGGTAGAGCATCTGCTTGGCATGCAGAAGGTCCCAGGTTCAATCCCCACAAACTCCAGTTAAAAGGAGCAGGCAGGAGGTGATGGGAAAGACCTTGATTTGGGACCCTGGCTCAGTGGTAGAGCATCTGCTTGGCATGCAGAAGGTCCCAGGTTCAATCCCCGGCATCTCCAGTTAAAAGGACCAGGCAGGAGGTGATGGGAAAGACCTCTGCCTGAGACCCTGGAGAGCTGCTGCCAGTCTGAGTAGACCGGACTGACCCTGATAGGGTCTGATTCATATTAAGCAGCTTCATATGTTCATATCACGAAGTTGGCACCTGTTCATCCAGTGCCTGGAGCAGAGCTTGCAAACGTTCTAGCCGTCCCAGGGAGATCCTGTTGTTTTCACTCTCTTCTGTTGCAGGTTTTATAGCCTGGGTACGTCCAGGGATGCAATCCTTTGTGCACCAGCTCTTAGGCTATGGGTCACCACCTTTGGCCTTAGCCCAATAGATTAAACTAGGGCCTTTCTGCATTCTCATTTTACTCGCTGGTGAGTTCCTGTTTCTTTGGGGGGGGGGTCTGTTCTGCATGTGTTTTGCTCCCGCTAGTGGTCGATTCGATATTACACAGTTTTATTTCTAGCATTAAAAACCTGCAGTTTAAATCTTCGGGGAGATATGTTGGAGATAAATCTGTGTGATGTTGAATTGACCACGAGAGGAAGCGAAATACTTGTGGGACAGAAACTGCCCCCCCAAAACAGAGTAAAATGAGAATGCATATGTAGTGTGGTGTGGCTCAAGTGGTTAAGATGCTGAACTGCAGGCTGTGGAAGGTCGGTAGTTCAGCAGTTCGAGACCCGAGTGTGCCGCATGACGGAGTGAGCTCCTGTCTCTAGTTCCAGCTCCTGCCAACCTAGCAGTTCGAAAGCAAGACATTGCAAGTAGATAAATAGGGACCACTTCGGTGGGAAGGTCACAGCATTCCGTGCGCCTTGCTGTTTAGTCATGCTGGCCACAGGACCACGGAAACGTCTTCGGACAGCGCTGGCTCTTCGGCTTGGAAACGGAGATGAGCACTGCAACCCTAGAGTCGGATTCGACTGGCTTTCGAGCAAGGGAACCTTTACCTTTTATCCAGATGTGAGAAGATGCTGGGGATGTGCCTGCTGCTTGCCTCCTGTACAACGAATATCCTAATTTAATCATATGGGAATCCCTTTTATGATCTTTCTAAGGCAGGATTGCCAACCTGCAGGTATTGACTGGAGATCTCCTGCTATTGCAACTGAGCTCCAGGGAACAGAGATCAGTTCCCCTGGAGAAAATGGCCACTTTAGAAGGTGGACTCTATGGCATTGTACCCCATTGAAGTCCCTCCCCCCCAAGCCCTGCCCTCTTTCGGCTCCACCCCCCAAATCCCCAGGTATTTCCCAACCCGGGCCGGAGCTGGCAACCCTGTTCTAAGAAGGAGACAATTTACAGCACATATGAAGAAGAGGAGATTGGATTTATACCCTACTCTTCACTACCCGAAGGAGTCTCAGAGTGGTTTACAATCTCCTTTCCTTTCCCCTCCCCACAACAAACACCTGTGAGGTAGGTGGGGCTGAGAGAGCTCTGAGAGAACTGCTCCTGAGAGAACAGCTCCGAGAGAATTTGTGACTGACCCAAGGTCACCAAGCTGGCTGCATGTGGAAGAGTGGGGAATCAGATCTGGTTCTCCCAGATTAGAGTCCGTGCTCTTATCCACTACATCAAACTGGCTATCAGGACAAAGTCTGAGTCCGGTGGCACCTTTAAGACCAACAAAGTTTAGTTCTGGGTATAAGCTTTCGTGTGCATGCACAGACATCTGATGAAGTGTGCATGCACACAAAAACCTCTACCCAGAATTAAACTCTGTTGGCCTTAAAGGTGCCGCTGGACTCAAACGTCGTTCTGTGGCTTCAGACCAACACGACTACCCACCTGTATCTATATAGGTTATCAGCAATGTTCCCTCTAAGCTAAGTTAGTGTGAGCTAGCTCACAGTTTTGTAGCCTCTGGCTCACCCATTTCTGTCTCAGCTGAGGAAGGAGGGCTCCAGAGCAAACTAATTTATGCAGCAGCCAAATCACTTGCTCACAGCTTTAGTGCCAGTAGCTCACAAAGTAGAATTTTTGCTCACGAGACTCCACAGCTTAGAGGGAACATAGGTTATCAGTAATGGATAAATGGGGGAACTCAAACTAAGAAAGTTAGAATGGGCTTTTGCCTAGATGGATTTATTCCGATGATTAAAAGGAAAACATAAAGTTAATTCCCTGTGTCCTTTAAATCGCTAAAAGGGACCGAGCGGCTTCAGGGAAAACTTAGAGAGAAAACTCCAAACCAGCCATTGGTTTTTTGGAGTTTTTTTGCTGTTTTTTGTTTAAATTACATTAGAATGCTTTCTGCCCACCGGATGAGCCTTGCTCCGGGCTATTTTGCTAGACAGTAGGGGAGAAAAGCTCTTAAATGGGCAAGAGGCCTTTTAAAACGTAGGAATCAAGCAAATTAATGGACAAGTCACAGCCTTGAAGTGATCGTGGTTGGCAGCTCTTCCTCACCGGGGACCCCCCAAGATAATGCTCTCCTACCGCTTTTGGAGAAGGAGAAAAGAGATGGAAGGGAAAGGAATGGGATGGAAAAAAGGGAGATAGAATGGGTTCTTCTGGCAGGATGGGGTAACCCAGGGCTCCCCGACCCTTTTTTTGAGCTTGCGGGCACCTTTGGAATTTGGACACCATGTGGTGGGCACAGCAGCCATAAAATGGCTGCTGCCAGAGGCAGAGCCAGTCACAAAATGGCTGCCACCGGAGGCAGAGCCAGTCACAAAATGGCTGCCATGGGAGGTGAAGCCAGCCACAAAATGGCTGCCACCGGAGGCAGAGCCAGTAAAAAATGTCTGCTGACTCTTACTTTCAGCTACACGCATTTTTAAAAATCAGCACAGCCAATCAAATCTCCAGCGGCCAATCAGAAGCCTTACTGGGCAAAAGCCCTACCTGCCAGGCTCACTTTCTAAAAACACTTGGTGGGCCCCAGGAGGAGGAGGAGGAGGAGGAGATTGGATTTATACCCCGCCCTTCACTACCCGAAGGAGTCTCAGAGCGGCTTCCAATCTCCTTTCCCTTCCCCTCCCCACAACAGACACCCTGTGAGGTAGGCAGGGCCGAGAGAGCTCTGTCGAGGACTGCTCTTGAGAGAACAGCTCTGAGAGAACTGGTGACTGGCCCATGTGGATAGGGTTGCCAAGTGACTTACGGTTAAAAGCAGGGGAGATTTGGTCCCTGGCCGGGACATAGAGTTTTCAGGCTGATTGCTAGAGCGTCAGCCGGCGACGTGCCCAACGTGATGATGACGCAACCTCCGGGTGACATCATTGCGCCAGGGCCAGGCACGTAGGCCCGAACCGGGGACACTGGGGGCGGGGTTCCCCCCGCCGTTCTTTTCCAGACCGCCTTGGAGCAGGGGAACCTCTGCCCTCCTGGGGGACCTGTCAGCCCTTCATGTGGAGGAGTGGGGGGAATCAAACCCGATCCTCCCAGATTAGAGCCCGTGCTCCTCACTATGACGCCGAACTGGCTCTCACGGCACCCATGCCAGCTCTTCCATCTACGGGAAATACAGAACGCACCCTTCACCCATGCCTTTGACTTGAAAGTTGCATCCTTTTAATATGGTTGCCAGGTCTGTGTTGGGAAATGCCTGGAGATGTTGGGGGTGCAGCGTGGGGAGGGTGGGGTTTGGGGCGGGGGAGGGACTTCAGTGGGATGTAATGCCGTAGAGTCTACTTTCCAAAGCAGCCGTGTTCTCTGGGCGGACTGATCTCGGTCGCCTGGAGATCAGTCATAATAGTGGGAGGTCTCCAGCCACCGCCTGGTGGTTGGCAACCCTTTTGGGAATTCTGGTGTGCCCAGTAAATCCTGGAACCTGCTGGCAAGCCGCCATAGTGGTTAGAGTGTCTGAATAGGCTCCAGGAGATGAGGGTTCAAATCCCCACTCAGCCATAAAGCTGGCTGAGTAACTGTGGGCCTGCCCCTCTCCACTTAGTCCCCCTCTAGGCTTGGCAGAGGGCAGGGGATCCCCCAATTTCAGGGTCTTCTCTCTGGTGCAGACCAGCTGGCCATTAGGGGAAATCCCACTCCTAAACAGGGATGTCACCGTGCGACGTCCCCGATGTGATGATGTCACCCGGAAGTGACATCATCATGTTGGGGACGTTGCACGGGGGACGCTCTGGTATTTGGGCAAACTCTATGGTTTGAGGGCAAAAAGCCCCCCACAGAGTTTCGCCCAAATACCAGACCATCCCCCGCACAATGTCCCGACGCAATGATGTCACATCCTAGTGACGTCATCGCATAGGGGACGGCGCGCGATGTCCCTGCCTACCCCCCGAAACGCCCCGGAGTGAAGCGGGAACCTGGCAGCCCTATCCCCCTCGCAGGATTGTTGTGAAGACAAAAATAGGGAAGGGAGAAGAAGAAGCAGCAGCAGCAGCAGTAGTATTTTTAATTTATTATTTATTTATTTATTTATTTTGATTTCTATCCCGCCTTGCCTGACAAGCAGGCTCTTGTAGTAGTAGTAGTAATCGGATGTATACCCCGCCCTTCACTCGGAGTCTCAGAGCGGCTTACAATCTCCTTTCCCTTCCCCTCCCCACAACAGACATCCTGTGAGGTAGGTGGGGCTGAGAGAGCTCTTTCGAGGACTGCTCTTGAGAGAACAGCTCTGAGAGAACTTGTGACTGACCCAAGGTCATGTGAGCAGCTGCAAATGGAGGAGTGGGGGAATCAAACCCGGTTCTCCCAGATTAGAGTCCGTACACTTAAACACTACACCAAACTGGTGTAGGGAGAATTGCAGTGAGTTCACAGAGACACAATTTTTATTTTGCAAGATCTGTGTCCTGCTGTTGATAGTTCATAGCAAGTGTTATAAACAACAATAATAATAATAAATCAGAAAAATAAGAGCATCAGTGAAAAGTGGCAGTCAGGAGGGGAAACGGGGCCTGATCTCACAACTGCAAAATTGAAGGAGTCAAGAAAGGGACAACAAGACTCCTAAAGGCGACAATGGTAATTTTTAGCAGTGTTATCTGACGGGAGCTAAATTGGCCGTGACATTGAGTCCCCCCTTTGCAAACAGGTTCAAAGCCCTTTCGGAGAAGTCGCTCAAGGCGGGCCGGTTGTCTGGCGCAGATAAAAGCAGAAAGGTAATTGAGCAATTCTTTGGCTGCAACACTGTGAGCCTGCGAGGCAATTGCTAGAAACAAATCGACGGCCCGATGTGCAGATAAAAGGCCCGCGTGCGGTTCAGGCACCCGAAAGGTAAATCAACAAAACAGGTTTAAGACTCAGATCGCGTTGTTCTATACGAGTTGCTCTTTAGAAATCCTGATGACTTTCAAGTTCCCGGTTGTGCCTCTCACCTCCTTTGGTCCCCCATCCACTGATCCCGTTCATGTTCAGAAACTGAGCCGGCGAGATTTTCGAACTGGTTGTCCTGCGTTTCCTAGATTACATCTGAGAAGTATTATGAATCCCTCTTGTCTTAGCTTTTGCGTTGCTTTTGCATCTGTGCATTTTGGGACGATGGTCGGACTGGGAAGGAAACCTTTCTTTCAAGCCCATTGGACAGTGACCTGCGCGTGCCATCCTGTCTGCTGGAAGCAGCTCTCTAGGGCAGGGGTCCTCAACGTGGTGCCCATGTAGGGTTGCCAAGTCGTTCTGACTTACCGGTGGGGGAGCGTCGCTTTGGTCCGGGAGCTGCTGAGGTATGCGCGCGTGCATAGCGTGCGTGCGCCACCAGAACATCACAGGAAGTGACGCACGACGTAGAGCACGTTGGGAGCGTGGCCACGCCCCCCAACGTGCTCTACGTGGTTGAGTCACTTCCTGTGACGCACCCACGCTGCGCTTTGGGGGGCAGGGTTCCCCCCGGGGCCCGATTCCACGGTGGCGGAAATCGGGCCTCCAAAGCGGGGGTTTACCTGCCACCCGCCCCCACTTGGCAGCCCTATGCCCATGGGGGCCACATGGTGTGTACCGACACCTTTCCTGGTGCCCACCAAGTGTTTTTAGGAAATTAGGGAGGCCAGGTTAGGCTTGCCACTCCCACTGGGGGGCGGAGTTTTGCCTGCTGTAGGGGCCCCTGATCCACCAGCCTGGATACAGCCAGTGGGGGGAACCCTGCCCCCAAAGTGCCGGAATCACACCAACGTGCCTCGTGCAATGACGTCACCCAGAGGTGATGTCATCACGACAGGCATGCTGCCAGGGAGACGCTCTAGCATGCGTTCTAAAAACTCTATGGTACCATAGAGTTTCTGGCTTAATCCTAGAGCACCCCTTGGCGACGTGCCTAGCGCGATGACGTCACTTCCAGGTGATGTCATCGCAGCGCATGGGCTATGCGCTCACACCAGAAGACCCAGAAAGGAAGGTGTGTCCCCCCCACCAGCAGCAGGTAGGGACTGGGCAACCCTAGGCGAGGTAGGGCTTTTGACCAGCAAGGCTTCTGATTGACAGTTGGAGATCTGATCTGATTGGTCGTGCCGATTTTTTAAAAATGTTGCTTCGGCAGCAAATGCCACCACAGCATAGGGTTGCCAGGTCGACTTTCCTGGCCAGCGACATGCTTCTGGGAGACCAGAAGTGATGTTGGGCATTTTGGGGTCTACTTCTGGTTTGGGGCCTACTTCCTGTTTTGAGCGGCTTCCAGTCAGGGTGACACTCTGGTCATTGGGCAAAACTCTATGGTAAATTTGCCTTCAAACCATAGAGTTTCGCCCAAAAACCAGCGCATCATCCCCAACTGGAAGTAGGCCTGAAACTGGAAGTAGGCCCGAAACCAGAAATAGGCCCAAAAAGAGTTCCCCCGCTCCAGTTCCCCTGGAGAAAATGGCTGCTTTGGAAGGTGGACTCTGTGGCATTATATCCCACTGAAGCCCCTCCCCAAACCCCGCCCTCCAGGCTCTACCCCCAAATATCCAGATCCCCAAATACCCATATCTGGCAACCCTATAAAGATGCAGCCTTTCAGTCAAAAGCCTGGGTAAAGAGTGCATTCTGAGTTTCTTGTAGATGGAAGAATATACATTTTATAGTATTGGCTATCCTAATAATATCTATCAAGACACAAAATGCACGGCCCACTCTGGTGATCTTATCACGAAATACATTTAAAACAGCGAATATATTGATTTCTAAAACAATGGATAGTAGCCACTAAATGCATGCCTCCTATGCAGTCGGCTAGGGAAGAGAGTCTTCTGCTATTACCAGTGCCCTCCAGGCAACAGAGATCAGTTCCCCTGGAGAAAATGGCTGCCTTGGAAGGTGGACTCTATGGCATTTGACCCCATTGAAGTCCCTCCCCTCCCCAAACCCCGCCCTCCTCAGGCTCCGCCCCCAAATCTCCAGGTATTTCCCGACCCAGGGCTGGCGACCCTGCTTATTCAGACTTACCACATTTATAAGCTGAGCCAGCGACACTTGCAGTTCTATCACCACCAACTGTGAGGAGTTGAAGGCCGGGCGGATCAAGTTGTTGTAGCGCGAGCTGTTCAGGAGGTGGTTCATCAGCCTCTCTTCAGCATCTGCCGTGTCACTCCCTGTAAAGACAGGAAGGAAATGAGGTCGCTAAATGGAGACGAGATTCTGTCGTTCTTGTAACCGGGTTGGAGCCCCCGGGTTGTGTTTTGCAGATGGGAAACTGTTCCACCGGAGGGATAGAACTTTCCTCGCTCCTGTTGAGCCCCACAATATGTTGTTCTGAGGGCAACACGTGAGGAGCAAATTCGGGGTCTGCGATAGGGATGCCAGCCTCCAGGTGGGACCTGGGGAGCTCCCGGAATTACAGCCGGACTACAGAGATCAGTTCCCCTGGAGAAAACGGATGCTTTGGAGGGTGGTTTCCTATAGTGCTGTACCCCACTGATTTCCCTGTCCTCCCCAGGCTCCATCCCCAAACCTCCTGGAGTTTCCCTACCTGGATTTGGCAACCCTGTCCCCCCCATCCCCCACCGGTGGGCAGAGGGGATCTGGCAACTCTAATCTGCAAGGAGGAGGAGGAGGAGGAAGATCGGGCGGGGCCCTCCAGCTTCCGGCGGGACTGTCCCCACGGGGAAGGGGATGTCCTCAGTGTGACGTCATCACATTGGGGATGTCCTGCCCCCTCCAGGAACACAACATCCCCCACTGGGGACGAAGATGGACTCGACAACCCTACCGGGGAGTGAATTGCAGAGCTTTGGGGCCATGACAAAGAAGGCCCTGTCCCGAGTTGCTGCCTGCCTAATTTCAGAAGGAAGATGCACTCGAAGCAGGGCCTCAAAAGATGACTGTAGTGGCCAGGCAGGTTGATAAGGGAGTAGGAGATCGATCAGGTATGATCAAGGTAGGCTTGCCAAGTCCCCCCGGGGGGCGGGAAAACCCCCGCCCCAGAGGCCCGTTCCCTGCCCCAGAGGCCCGTTCCCCGCCGCCACCGGATCGGGCCCCGGGGGGAACTCCACCCCGACGTGCACGTCACCAGGAAGTGCGCTGGGGGCACGCTGGGGGCGGGGACACAGTCATCCGAGGGAAAACTCTATGTTTTTCCCTCGGATGGCACCGGGATCGACCCGGGAGTCCCCCGCTCCGGAACAAGGTGAGACTTGGCAACCCTAGATCACGGGTTACTGTCACTAAGGTTTGACAATATCGTTCACAGTTTGGAACAACTTGTAAGGATCACGGCTGGAGCCCCCTTTATATGACTGCCAGTTGATAGGGACAGACTGGTGCTCATACACTCTGTCTTTGATCACAGAGAACGATTAGAATGTGGAGCCAGAGGATGTCATGATGGCCACAGGAATAAAAAGCTTTAAACGGGGATTAGACAGATCCATGGGGGAATAGGCCTGCCAATGGCTACTAGCCATGGTGACTGCGGGGAACCTCCACATTCAAAGGCACTAAGCCCCCGAATCACAGAGCCAGGAGGCAACGTCGGAGGAAGGCCTCGGCCTCTCTGCCCTGTTGTTGGCCCTCCAGAGGAACTGGTTGGCCCCTGTGGGAGACGGGAGGCTGGAACAGATGGACCCCTGGTCTGATCCAGCAGGGCTCTTCTGATGTTCTTATTTTCTTATGTCCTCCGTTGATTTGAAAGCCGAGATGGAGTTCATTCTTTTGCTCAAAGGTGTACTTTTTATAAAACAACATTATCGTTTAACAATATTTTGTTATGGTCCAAAAAATTATGACTTAGGAAATACAGTGTCCAAAATAGCAGGCGGGGCATGGCGCAGTGCCGCAGAGTTGGTGTTCGTGGACTTAGAAGCACGCACACTCAGGGCAAAATGCTTCTTTCCGCCTCGATGCTCAGAGATTCAACTCCCAGAGATCCCTGGGCGAGTGCTTAGCCCTAGAAGAATGACAACTCTAGCAAATCACATCGACAAAATGCTAACAAAGACCAAAATAGTTCCAGAGGGTCAGCCATGTTGGTCTGCAGTAAAACAGAGTTCAAGAGCACCTTCAAGACCAACAGGAGTTTCAGGGTACAAGAAGAAGAAGAGTTTATTTTATACCCTGCTCTTCACTATCTGAAGGAATCTCGGAGTGGCTTACAATTTCCTTTCCCTTTCTCTCCCCACAACAGACACCCTGTGAGGTAGGTGGGGATGAGAGAGCTCCTTCGAGAACTGCTCATGAGAGAACAGCTCTGAAAAAACTTGTGACTGTCCCAAGGTCGCACCAGCAGCTGCACATTTGGAGGAGTGGCGAATCAAACCCAATTCTCCCAGATTAGAGTCTGCGCTCCTAACTAGGGATGTGCATTCGGTTTGGACAGACTGGGAAAAAACCCTGAATAATGCCTATTCGGCATTATTCGGCCCGCCGAAAGCCAAATCAGATTCGCTAATCGAATTCGTCCAGTTGAACAGGAATTCCCCGAATGGATGCTGTATATTCGGCATCTATTTGGGGAATCCCTTTGCTGGGCAAGGGGAAGGCAGAGGAAGGCATTTAAATGCCTCCCCGCTCTTTCCAGGGCCTTTCCCGGCTCACCCGCCTCAGCAGGTGTGCCAGGAAATGTGGGGGGGGGCACTGCAGGCCTTCCCTGGCTCACCCACTTCGGCGGATGGGCCGGGGAAGGCACAGGGAGGCATTTAAATGACTCCCTGCACCCTCCTGGGCCTTTCCTGGTCTGTCCGCCTTGGCGGGTGAGCCAGGGAAGGAGGGGGGGCCTCTGCAGGCCTTCCCTGGCTCGCCAGCTTCAGCGGGCAGGTCAGGGAAGGCGGGGGGGCTAGCTTGGGAGGCAGTGGGCTCCCTTCACTGAAGGTAAGGCAAACTGCCTTCCCTTCAATGAAGGGAGCATGGCACCTCTGCGGCACGATGGGAGGGGGGATTTAAACTTTAAAACTCGAGTCACACCGCAGAGGTGGAACACTCCCTTCATTGAACGGAAGGCAATTTGAAGGAAAGGCATTGAAGGGAAGGCAAAGTGATAGGAAACCCTCCTTTCAAGGGGGGATTATTATAACCCATAGGGTATAATTGAGCCAAATGTGATTCGGCCGGCCGAATGCCACCCCAATTGGCTTGCATTGCCGAAAGTGGCATTCGCGGGTCATTCGGCTGACTGAATCACATTTGGCCCGATTCGGCCGAATCCGAATGTGCCGATTTTTTTTTTTTTTTTTGCCCCTCCCCACTCCTAACCACTACACCAAACTGGTTCTCTATGGCAAAACTCTATGGTTTGACGCCGATTTTACCATAGAGTTTTGCCCCAAACCCAGAACATTGTCCCCAACATAGCCGATGTGCTGACGTAACTTCCAGGTGATGCAAGCATGTTGCGTGCAACATCACCGTTTCGGGGGTAATTGGGGGGGCAACATCACTTCCTGCTCCTGGAACATCTCCTCCATCCCCCCACTGGTGGGCGAAAGGGACCTGGCAACCCTAGAGAGAACTGGGACTGGCCCAAGGTCACCCTGCAGGCTTCATGTGGAGGAGGAGTGGGGAATCAAACCTGGTTCTCCAGGTGAGAGTCGGCCACTCTTAACCAATACACCAAGCTTTTGAGAGTCAAAAGTTCCCTGCCAAAAACAGACAGTGGTTCATTGAAGATAAATAGCAAGAAAGGAAGACTGTCTCCAATAAACAGAAACAGTCGGATCATATCAGTTGGATCTTCACTCCCACCTGCCGGTCCCCCACATATCCATGAAAGAATGCACCCAACAATTTGAGGAACACTCTCTGTAAATACCTTTCGGCATTTGGCAATTGTTCTAATCTTTCACTGAGCAAAAAGGTTTCCAACATGGCAGCGAGTGAGCCATTTCTGCGGAGGCCCAGTCGCCTGTTTGGCCCACCAAAGAACGCTTAAATCATTTATACTTCCCCATGTTCGACAAAGCGCACTTTCATGCTTAAATATCTTATAAATGACATTGGTTAATGTCTCACACCACGGCACTCCGCAACACTATGATTTATGTATGGGCAACTTGCGAGCCCCCGCTATGGAGATGAAATATTAAACGGAGGCATGTAAATGATACGTTAACAACTTGACACGCACACATGGACGAGCTCCGTGACCGTAAGCAAAAGCCCGACGAAAGCCTTTTAAAATTGGCTCAGGAACTTTCGTCTCGAGAAGCGGGGTGACCAGGATTTCACACAGTGTTCCACATACAACCAAACTGCAGGGGTATAGAAAGGCTTTATGATACCCATCATTGGCCGCGGGCACACGGGCAGGAAAATGCGGGGGGGGGGGAAGCATGGCTGTTTGCCCCGGGGCAAAATAATGCGTGGTTGCACCAGCAGACATACCGTGGAGGTCCCATGGAGGTCCCGTGGTAGGGGGGAGGTGCCGAGCACACCACAATCCTGCGCCGCAGCAAAGAAGCGGTGCGGTGCGGCAAACAGGTGTTTTTTTCTCCAGACACCAAAGTGTGCGCATGGCCTGTTGAGTGTTCGTGCGCATCCCATGGACAGTTGGGGAAAAAACCCTTTATACGAGGGGGCATGGGTGGGCGCCGGAACTACCACCGGAAACGCGATCAGACACCCGCCCTTGCCCCGCGGTTACCGGAAACTAGTACCTCCAAGGTACTAGTTTTTAACCGTGCATCTTCAGCGGGAAGCCTCGGGTTCGGCACGGGAGCTCTACGATTCCCAGATGTGACGGTGAGATCGCGCCCGGAAAATCCGCCTATCTTCCGTCTCTCTAGTGTGCCTAATGCTCCGTGTGACCGCAGCCATACTTTGCCTGATGGGACAAAAAGCGAGCTTGAAGGGGAGTTTCAAAGGGTAGCTGTGTTGGGCCACAGTAGATCAGCTGGTTTCCAATCCAGTAGTAGTAGAAGAAGAGAAGAGATTGGGTTTATACCCTGCCCTTTACTAGAGTCTGAGAGCGGCTTACAAACTCCTTTCCCTTCCCCTCCCCACAACAGACACCCTGTGAGGTCGGTGGGGCTGAGAGAGCTCTGAGAGCATTGTGACTGGCCCAAGGTCACCCAGCTGGCTTCAGGAGGAGTGAGGAATCAAACCCAGTTCTCCAGATTAGAGTCCACCCCTCTTAACCACTACACATAAATGGCTCTCAAGC